ATAAGAAATGGATTCTACAAAAACCAACAACCAGAGAACAAGAAAGAGCTCTTGTAAACTAAAAGTAACAAAACAAAATGTTTCAACAGAAACATTCTAGATAGTGGAATAAATAGACAAAGAGGTAGAAGCAGATGAGAAAACATGACAAATTAGAGGATTAATCCAAAGGGAACAGAGGAACAGACTCTGACTAATTCTAAGAGTATCACTAAGACAGAACATGAAAACAGAGACGAGGAAATAGCCTTTGAAGTAATTCAAGAGAATATCCAAAGCTGGGCGTGGTGGTACATACCTATGATGATTTGGGAAGCTGCAGCAGGAGGATCAAGCAATTTAGTGAGACCCTACTCAAAATAAAAAATAAATAGGGATAAGGATGTAGCTCAATAGTAAAGCGCCCCTGGTTTCAATCCCTGGTATAAAAAAAAAAAAAAACTAGCCAAAAATCAAGGATGGCTTTTTAGATTGATAGGGACCATGAATGCTTACTTCAGTAGGTAGAAAATGCCCCTAACAGAGATAAAACTTTAAGAAAAAACAGAAACCTGGTCTGCTGCCAAGAACTGAGAATCAGAAGGGAGGTTTAGAAGCACTAGAAGCTACAGGACAATGAATCAAGGCCTTCAAAATTCTGAGAATTCTATAGCCAGGCAAACTCARGTGTCAGAGTAGATTTAAGATATATTAAGATACACAGGTCTCAAATGTATAGCTTTGAATCYTTTCTGAGAAAATTACTAAAAGAATGTGATCCAACTAACCGAAGGAGTAAAACAAAAAAGAAAACTGGAATATCAGGAAAGAGAAGATAGCACATAGGAGAGGAGTTAGAGAAGTTGTATGAATTTAGAACAAGAAGATTGAGACTCCAGAAGCATTGTTTGTAGTTGAAAAGTAGAATTGGGGGGAATCCAAGATGTCACTGACTTTCTGAACAGCGCTTGTCAGAGGTTTACAGTTGTGTAGAAAAGTTGGGGAAAATCAAAGATTAAACAAAACAAAACTGAGCTCATTTGTTTAAAAAAAAGATAACTTTTTATTCCAGACAGTTCAAAAAGGTTTTACAAGAAGGCAAATATAATTATAGTCTTTTTCTTGACATACATAGCCCTGTAATGAAACTATAATTAGATAGAAGTAGGAAAAGTGGGAGTCTGAAGTGATATAAACATGGTAAATCTTTACCTTCTTAATTGAAAAGTGAAAAGATAAATTCTAGCCAAGCATACTTATAATCCCAGTGATTTGGGAGGATAGCAAGTTAGAGGCCAATCTTGGCAATTTAGTGAGACCCTATCGCAAAATAAAAATTGAAAAAAGGTTTGGGGTGCAGCTCAATGGTAAGACACCCCTGGCTTCAATCCCTAGTACCACACACACACACACACACACACACACACACACACACACAAATCCTAAAATCGGTATATCAAGAAATAGCCGACATGCTGGGCACAGTGATACACCCTTATAATCTACGCTACTCAGGAGGTTAAGGCAGAAGTATCACAAATTCAACACCAGTCTGGGCAACTTAGTGAGACCTGGTCTTTAAAGAAAACAAGGATTAAGGATGTAGCTCAATGGTAGAGCACTGGCCTCCTATGCATAAGGCCATGAATTCAGGCTCAAGTATAGCAAAACAAAGGGAAAAGGAAGAAATATATGCATATTTAGAAATATAAAGGTAAATATAGAAGAAACATGTCTTTAAAATGGGGAAATGAGACTCAGGGTTAGAGTAGGGTAAGGTAATAGATTCTTTGTTTTCAATCTAATCTTTGTAGTATTTTTAAAAATTATATAAAATTATGTGTATATTTTTAAAGTTATTATTTTAAATTATAATCATTATTTTGGTATTTTCCAGAAGCCTAGARACTCCAACTTCTAGTCCTACCTCAGTTATCATTCTGCTTAGCCTTGGACCTATCTAATTAAGTACCTTCTGGTAGGTATCTGGAGTATGTATTTGAAATGAAAATTTTCTAAAAATTCAAGAGTCTGCTGGCCATGGTGGTTCATGTCTGTAATCCCAGTGACTTTCATCTAGGCTRAGGTGGAAGATCACTTAAGTCCATATGTTTAAGACCAACTTGGGCAACATATTGAGATCCTGTCTCAAAGTTATGGTTGATATGTGAGCAAAAGTAGTTGCCACCTGCCTTCATGGTAATGTTTCCTAATTTSTCTCTAAAAAAAATATGAGTTCCTGTTGTATTAGTTACCTACCACTGTGTAACAAAGTTAGTGACTTAAAACAACAAACAAAATTTGTTGTCTTACATTTTTTATGAGCCAGTGATTTAGGAGCTGCTGTCCTGGGTTGTATGACTCAGTCTCATGCTGTTGCAATCATAACTAGGCCTACAGTCATCTGAAGTCATACTAGGGCTGAGTGATCCACTACCAAGACAGCTCACTCACTCACACACCTGTTGACAGGAGGCTTTGTGGGTCCTTACTGGCTGTGGGCCTTTCTGTAGGTCTGCTGATACATCCTCTTGGCATGGAGCTGGCTCCCCACAGGGAGTGCTCTGAGAGAAAAGAGGAAGGCATAATACTTTTTATGACCTTGTCTCAATAGATGCCACACTGTCACTTCTGCTTTATTCTATTCATCATAACAAGTCACTAAAACAGCCTGGGTGTGGTGGCGAATACTTGTAATCCCAGTGAGTTGGGAGGTTGAGACAGGAGGATTGAAAGTTCAAGGCCTTCCTCAGAAATTTAGTGAGGCCCCAAGTAACTTAGCAAGACCTMGTCTCAAAATAAAAAATAATAAAAAGGACTGGGGATGTAGCTTAGTGGTTAAGCGCCCCCCACCTTCAATCCCTTGTATTAAAAAAAAAAAAAAGATACTAGTCTGGGGAGAGGAATTAGGCTTAAAGTAGAAACAAACAAACAAACAAAAAATGTGTACATATTTTAAAACCAGCATACCAATCCGTGCTGGATTGTAGGAGAGTAGATTGGGGGACTATCCTTACATGATTTATGAATGCCTAAATCTAGCTCATCACTTTTTGTTATGATATTACTCTTTATGACTCCAAAATAAACTGATATTGCACTACCTTCCTACATCACTTCTATTCTGATAGTTAAAACTCCTTGAGTACCAGTGACATTTCTTGTCTTTTTTTTGTATCTCTGCTTAACCTATTTATAATAGTGCTTGAAATATTCTTTCATTCTGTAAATGTGAATACACTTACATGTAAGTCTCCTAATCTACTTATATATGCACATATACATATGTATATATCTATATCTATATCTATCTATCTATCTATCTATCTATATCGAGTTTTTAGACACTGTGCTATATACCAGTAATACAGTCATGAGCAATACATAGTCACAATCCTTGTGTAAATTCTTGGGCTTAGTCTACTGGGGAAGGGGAAGACACTAAAGGTTTAATCACATTTGTGAACATATAATTACAAATTGAACTACATTTGCTGATGGAGAGAAATATAGTCTTATAGGTGCATATAAAATAGGAACCGGGTTAGTATAGCCAAAATAGGTGAAAATAGAAAGTTCATCAGAAATTGAATTTTGCCAAATGGGTAAAAGAAAAAGAACAAGGTTCCAAGGAAGTTTACAATATTGGTAAGAGTGATGTTAAAATACTTCGCTAGTATGTGCTCATATTTGTTGATTTGAACCAAAACTGACCTTTTTTCTTTGCCTTACCTTCCCTTCTTCTTGATATCAGAGGTGATATATTTTGGTATGGACAGACTAGTCTAAYCAGAGTAGTTATAACTGAGTGGGAGAAGGAACTATCTCTGCCCACTTCACCTTGTTTACTGTCTACTGCAAACAAAGAAGTCATATTTTWAAAAAATTCACACATTACCCATATGATTTTTTTCTAATAAATTTGAAGACATCCTTTCTGTGACATTTAATAATTCACATAAATTTGCACCTTATTTGTAAAGTGTAGAACATATATATATATATATATGTGTGTGTGTGTGTGTGTGTACATATATGAATTCATTTGTTTATTTGGCAATGCTGGGGATTAGACTTAGAATTATTACATATGCCAGGCAAGTGCTGTACCACTGAACTATACCCCCAGCCCAGAAATAACAATTTAAAAGAACATTATTGAAGGCTTACTATGTGATGGATGTTGGGTTAGCAACTTTAGGTACATTTTCTTATTTAATACTCATGGCAACCTTTTAGATAGGTCCAGTTATGCTCATTTTACAAAGATAACCAAAGACTAAGCAATTTTTCCAAAAGCACAGAAATCTGACAGTTTAGCGGACCGCAAAGTCCCTGTCTCAGCCACTTCAGCATTCTTATCTGTGCTCCATCTCTCTACTCCACTACCTTCTGGTCTCATTGACTCCCTCTTTGTTTCTAGAAGTAGCTGAGCTCTTTTTCACCTCAGGACCTTGCTCTTGCTCTTCCTCTGTTCAGAAGGTTCTACAGTTTGGTGCATTCTCATCTCAGACGTCTGTTCTAAATTAATTATCCCCATCTGATTCTATTACATCACCGTGTTTCATTTCCATCATAGCACTTAACACTCTAAAACTATTAATTTCCCTACTAGATCACAAGCAGATCTATCAGTACCTCATTCATTCGCTGAAACTTTCTACTTGTTCTGTAACTGCAGGTGTTATACCAAAAAGCCATCTGTGTTACACCGATAGGCTATCAGACCAATTTTGAGGTATTACTCCTTGTTCCACTCCCTTCTCAGTTTATTACAACTGTGGTTCCAAGGTCTTTCAGTAACCCGCGTCCTGCTTTACCCTTCCTGGTCGGCAGGGAGCGGTATAGTTGGAGGCCTCGTTTCGTGTGCAGGGGCACTCTAGGCGAGACGAGACACAGAGGCGAGAGACGTAAGTAGCAAGGCGGGGCTAAGAGGAAGGGGCGGGACATTCGTAAATCCGCCCCTCCAGGCAGGCTCTTCCCCCCCCCCTCGCCCCGCCCCTTCCCCCGCCCGGGCGGCCATGGCCATTCCCGGCATCCCCTATGAGCGACGGCTTCTCATCATGGCGGACCCTAGAGATAAGGCGCTTCAGGATTACCGCAAGAAGCTGCTGGAGCACAAGGAGATCGACGGCCGTCTTAAGGAGTGTGAGTGCACTTTTCTTTCCACGTAACCTCGTCTTTGTACTCACTTATGCCTCTGTCAAAGCGGAGGCCTTTGGCCAAGCCTGGCAACCGAGCCCTGGAGATGAGAAGGCCCCGGTCCAGGGACAAGGCGCTTTGTCATCCGGCCCAGAGCTTGGGAAATAGCACCCCTTCAGGTGGGGAAATGGCCCAGTCCAGTCCGAATGACATAGAGAACATCCACGGTTTTGAGATGGGAGTGGGAAAGGATTAGACAAGTGGGGAAGAAGTAGGCCAGGGATGTTTCCCAGGTTTGGGTGCAAGGAGGCAGTGTTGATTCGGGAACCGGGAGAGGGGGAAGGCRGCTTGGCTTGTTGGTGGAGGAGAAAAGGGGTCCAGTGGTCGTAATAACCCTTCTCGTGTTTCATATTTTATTGTATCAAGCATCCAAGCTTTACACCCTGAGCACTTAACGTTTTTCCATAATGCAACATAGAAAAAAGCCTGAGTGATTTAATTAAATGAAGGAAGACTACAACCGTATGTTTCTGTGGAGAACTACATTTGTTAACTTTATTTAGGGTAGAAAACCAAGAGTAATCCAGGTAGGTAGGTGAAGCAATGAGAAAGAGCCTAATTTACTGATTAAATCATTTGGATTTGTAGTTGCAAATCMTGAAGTGTAAGGATGTCTGTCTGTAAGAATGTAACTTAAATTTGCTTAATCAAGTGAKTATTACAGATCAAGAAAAAAAAGATATGTTGCTTTTTTTGATAACGTTTATTTTTACACTTGTTACCTATTCATTACCAACGACAAAATTTCTTTTTGGCTTGATATAGTGATGGATATGAAACTTACATAAAGTGAAATAGATTTAAGTAATGCATTAAGATTATTGTTCAATTTAAAACATTTAAATTATGTTGTTTCAGTAAGGGAACAATTAAAAGAACTTACCAAGCAGTATGAAAAGTCTGAAAATGATCTGAAGGCCCTTCAAAGTGTTGGGCAGGTAGGTAGTGGAGTCTGGGATGTAGAGGGTGATGGTATTTTTTAGTGATTGGCAACAAGTAATGCTTTCTTTCCTTTCTTAGATTGTGGGTGAAGTGCTTAAGCAATTAACTGAAGAAAAATGTAAGTGGATTAACTTATTAACAATTTTTGAAATGCTTATTACTTTAGTGACAGTAATGCAAGGAGATGCTATTCTTGCATGGACTATATTTTAACTATTATCTTCTTGGAGGACAGAAATAAAACTAAACTTTCCATTGATGTGGAGATACTACACACACGTATTTTTACTATTTTTTCAATTTATTCTTTTGTTTTCCTCTTCTAGTCATTGTTAAAGCTACAAATGGACCAAGATATGTTGTGGGTTGTCGTCGACAGGTAATGCCTGATGTTTGTATAGTGCCTTATGATTGATAAAAGTGCTTTCATATACCTTATATTTACATATTGAGGCAAGCAKATTAGGCAATATGCTCAAAGTCTAAGGTTGACTTCTTCATACAGAGAAAGTTATTAGCAAAGCATGAATTCAAATCGTGGGTTTTGTCCCRTAGTGTTCCATATATTCTGCCATATCACATTGCTTTAATCAAATTTGCATACTTAAAAATGAAGGAATTTTATAACTGGAAAGTAGATCTTTTATTTTAATGTCTTTTTTGAAGAGGACTTAAAAAGTATTAGACACTATGAGTTATCTATTTAAACATTCAAAAAATCTTTCATATTTTCTATATTAGGGGCTAAGTTAATTTTGTTAGAGGTAATTTACATTAGAAAAGGCAAATAGAAACAACTTTAAATTCATGTTAAAGTCATCAAAACCTGCCAACAGATAGCTTAGAATCATTCAGTAGCATCTAAAATTAAGTTATGTTTTATTCTCCTCTTAAGGAATTGTTCTAAAGTAGATCATCCTTATGTATTCATTGGAAGAACTTTCTTTGAGAATGTGTTACAACAGGTTCAGGTTTTAAAAACGTTGATAACAACATGCCTATAGAAGAGAATTTAACCCAGGGAATAAATCTCATATGAGGATTTTACCTAGCATATAAGTCAGTATCATTTTTCTAAGTCAGATATTAGATTCCTAATCTGACAAGTGATTTTCCTTTCCCTTCAGGGCCCTCTGGATGCCAAAAGTTGGCATTTCTAAGATATTTCATGTTTGCATATTTGGATTGAATATTTGGAAAGTGGAATATATCAAGAACTGTTAGTGTATATATTCTCTATGGATATAAAKAAACATTGAGATAGTTCCATATTGAGTAAAAAAAAAAAAATTTCAAGTACCTCACTTATAGGCAACATTTTTGGCTTAGTCCACCTATCCACACCCTCTCCTGTTCCTAGTATTGGGAATTATGTCCAGGTCATTGTGCACACTAGGTAAGTGCTTTACCACTAAGCTACATCCCTAGCCATTTTTATTTTTATTTTGAGCTACAGAGTATCATTAAGTTGTACAGACTGGCCTGGAACTTGCTATTCTCTTCCTTTATCGTCCTGACTAGCTGGGATTATAGGTGTGTGCCATGGTTTGTTGGCTAGCTTAATCCATTGTATTAAATCTAATATTTTGTCTATCATCACTTCATTTTAAYTAACACTTGGTCCTAAATTTGTAGCTCTTCATAAAATCCCATGGAATGTGGTCAGTAACTTAAAATGTATTGACGAACATTTTTTAAAACTATCAAATAGCAACTTCATTTTTGAAAAGTAACATCCTGAATCTATTGGATAGAGTTTATCCAATTCTAAACAATTAAATTACCATGCTTAGATATACCAATAAATTGTTTAGTATGATTCACCTCAATATATAATGTGCCTGGCTTAGGGTCTAGCATATAGCAAAGGCATGAATGATAATGTCTGGGTTTGGGCTTGTTTTGCTTGTTATGAGTTTTGTTGTTGTTGGTTGGTGTTTGGGTTTTTTTTTTTTTTTTTCTTTTTCATTCTTTAGTATGTTAATAAAAATTTCAAAGAGGAAACAAAATCCATAAATGCATCTTCCCCAGTTGTCTGTGAATTAACTAATAAWTTTTTTCCCCAAAGTTATACTTCTCAAAATAAATTTAAATGGCACCTTTAAAATGTACTTTTTCCTTCCCAGAATATTCACCACAGGATTTTTCTATAAATGTTTTAGTACTAGTTCACAAAGTCACTTCGCTTCAGGGCCTGAACCAAAATAATAAATAAAATTATATTAAGTAGTGTTTGAAAGTAAAATTCTAGGGCTGGGGTTGTGGCTCAGTGGTAGAGCGCTGGCCTAGTGCGGGCAGGGCCCTAGGTTCAAAACTCAGCACCACATAAAAATAAATAAATAAAATAAAGGTGTTGTGTTCAACTACAACTAAAAAATAAATATTAAAAAAAAAAAAGTAAACTTCTAAAGTCCACTCCCTTTTCAAAAATGAGGGGGGCTACAGTTGTAGCTCAGTAGTAGAGCATTTGCCTCGCACATATGAGGCAGTGGGTTCAATCCTCAGCACCACATAAAAATAAATAACGGTATTTTTTTTAAAAGGACGCCATYGCTACTTCAAACTTTGTCAGTGATTTGATGCTGAAATTGCATTCTTCTAATAAGCAGATGGAAATAATTTTAAATTATTACTTCTATTGGCATGGAGTTTATTATCGATATTTGTGTTTTCTTTGAAGGGTAAAAGTGAGTATTTGGRTAAAAGTGAATGTTAAGTTCTTGTTAGAGTGTTATTCTCCATTTTAAATGTTTATAATATCTTTGCTTTATAAAACCAGCTTGACAAAAGTAAGCTGAAGCCAGGAACAAGAGTTGCTTTGGATATGACTACACTAACTATCATGAGGTGGGTTTTGTATTCTGTTTAGTTTTCTTTTATTTTCGCCAAGGGAAGGTCTTATCCAAAATATATGCTTCTTGAAATCAATAAATGTTTTGACACTTTTTACCTGTTACTAATTTCTAATTAATTAAGCATCCTTATTTTTTTTTTTTTTTAAAGAGAGAGGGAGAGAGAGAGAGAGAGAATTTTAATATTTATTTTTTAGTTTTCGGCGGACACAACATCTTTGTTTGTATGTGGTGCTGAGGATMGAACCCGGGCCGCACGCATGCCAGGCGAGCGCGCTACCGCTTGARCCACATCCCCAGCCCCAAGCATCCTTATAATATCACCTACAAACAAGTTATTTGTACTCCATAAGCTGAGAGAAAATACATCTTTTGAAAGAAAAACAAATGCCTTTTTATTCTAGATATTTGCCAAGAGAGGTGGATCCACTTGTTTACAACATGTCTCATGAGGACCCTGGGAATGTTTCTTATTCTGAGATTGGAGGTCTGTCAGAACAGATTCGGGAATTAAGAGAGGTTAGTATGTCATGCTTTGGTCTCTGAATTACTAATAAATAGTACAGGTTTTGGATGTCTGAAGGGAGAAGCAGAATGAAAAAAATATTTTTGTCCAAATTATTTTTTGTTCTTGAATATTATGCATTTAACACTCTTCTTGAGAGAAGAATGGCATTGAATTTCTAGGCATGAGAAGTATTGGCATTTGTTAATTTSGAGATTGTTTGATGTTAGAAATCTTGCTCTTTCTGTGGTGAAGCAGATATRTAATCTGGTGTTCTTTCCATCTGTGGTTTTAATTGTTAAAATAGTTTATTTTGGTTGGAGCACATTTGGTTTTGGTCTTTCTTTCTTTCTTTCTTTTCTTTCTTTTGTGGTTGTAGATGGACAGAATGCTTTTATTTTATTTGTTTATTTTTATATGGTTCTAAGGATCAAACCCAGTGTCTCTCACATGTGCTAGGCAAGCACTCGGCCGCTAAACTGGAGCACATTCATATAACATGTATTTTATAGTGTTTGCTAGCTTCTCACAGTGGAATAAGTTACCTGTGCCTTAACTAGTTTCTTTTGTTAAAGCTGTTTGATGCTATTTAGGAAAAATACTGACTATAGGAATGGTTTAAATCTTTGGAGCTTTTAGGTGAAGGATCWAATAAGGATTGCCTTGCATCACAGCACAGATGGCTTCTTGACAATTATCTGTAAAGCAAATTACAATGTCCTATTGATTTTATCTGAATGTAAAATGAAAATATTTAGGAATGCATGGAAATGATTGAAAAGTCTTWCCTCCACTAATTTAAGCCCTAAGCCAGTAGTTCTTAGATTTCAGCACAGTAAATTTTCTGATACAGTTGTTAAAAGGCTGGGGATGTAGCTCAGTATCAGAGTGCCTGCCAACCATGTTACAAGTTACATGTTACATTTTGGGTTTAATCCCTAATGCCTCCAAAAAAATTTAAAAATGAAGATTTTTAGGTCCTAGGAATTAGCATTTAAACAAACATTCTAGGTGATTGTGAAACCAAATTTTTTTTGATGATACTTGAGAAAGTTTGGCTTAAGTGTAAATTGAAAGCCAGTTCTCACGTCTATTTAGTGAAAGGGCAGCCAAGGGAAGAACAATGGTTTCATGGAACAGAAAACCTGCTTTCTACAGTGATTTTGCTGCATCACTTCTTCAGCATRGGAGCAGAAGAAATCACGTCCATGTTCTTTTCATCTGTAGGCACTTTAAAATTTTGATTTTTTATAATTTTCACTTGTCCTAGTCACATCTTATAGACATAGCTATTCAATAGGTGTTTATCTCACAAGTTACTGATGGTACTGTGAATAATATAAGTTGAGTAGTCAAATCCTCAATTTTTCCATCCTCCATTTTCTTTTTTCCTGTGAATTGTTTTGATAGGATATTGAAAGTTGAGCCCATTGTTCTTTTAAGGCTGCTATGGTAAAATGCCAATAGGTGAAATTTTATACACAGTTTTCTCTTTCTGGAAATTATAATTTATCAGATTCCTTCCCTGTTTCAGGATCATTTTGTGTTATATTCCCACATGCAAACTAGTATAAAACTTTTTTTTCACTGATTCTTTTTTTTTTTTTTTTTTTGTACCAGGGATTGACCTCGGGTGCTTAACCACTGAGCCACATCCCCAGCCCTTTTAATGTTTTATTTTGAGACAGGATCTCACCAAGTTGCATAGGGGCCTTGCTAAGTTGCCAAGACTGGCTTTGAACTTGGAATTCTCCTGCCTCAGCCTCCTCAGTCACTAGGATTACAGGCATTTGCTATTTACCCTGGCTTCACTGATTTTTTTGTTGTTGATGTTGKGGTATAATTTACATTTGATAAATGCACAGATTTTAAGTGTACATTTGAGTATGTTTTGACATTGTATGCCTGTGTATAATCAAGAATGTAGTTTGTTAAAATAGCCATTGTGTAATATATTTCAGAAAAACTTCTATCATAAATGGTTTTACCTAGTGCAGAAATCTAGATGTCTTATGGATTATGTGTATGTCCCACTCTGTTGATATTAGACTTTGGAAATGTCTTTAGTATGCAAGTTATTATTTGARAACATGCTAAAATGTCTACTAACTTTTTAAGAAACATGCGACTTCTTTTCTAGGTAATAGAGTTACCTCTTACAAATCCAGAATTATTCCAGCGWGTAGGAATAATACCTCCAAAAGGCTGTTTGTTATATGGACCACCAGGTTAGTATTGAATTATTTCTACCTCACCATAAATGAATGAATTAAAGAATAAAAAATAAAGTGGGGATTTAATGGAAAAATTCCAGCCTCTACTACATTCATGAGCGTGAGATAGGAGAGGTGTGTCTATTGCTCTCTGGGACATGCTTAGTTCATTGTACCTCATAATGTATGTATTATAGCGTACCATTTGATTCTAATGAAATATTCCTCAAAGTGTAGTTTACAGATCCAGGTGTCTCTGAGATGCTTTCTTGGGATCTGCAAGATCAAAACTACTTTCATGGCTGAGAATATAGCTATTCAGTGGTAGAGCGCTTGCCTAGTATACATGAAGCCCTGAGTTCCCTACCTAGAATTGGGGTGGCTGGAAAGACTACTTTCATGATAGTAACATGTTATATGTCTCCTTTACCATGTTAATGTCTGTGTTGATGGTATGAAGGCAATGTGGGTAAAATTGCTTGGCTTGAAACTGTACTTGTAGTCATTGTTCTCTTAATCRCCACATACTTGCAGTATAACAAAAAATTCCAGTTTTTCTTTAAAATGTTGGTAGAGCAGTAAAAAAAATAATTTTATTAAATTCTCAATATTTTGCGTTCTGTGTGATAAAATGGAGAGTATATGTACRTACAAAGTATTTCTGCTGCATATTGAAAAGTATATTTGTATTTAGGAAAAGCACTTGGTCAGTTGAGTTGTCAGATAAATGAATTGTTTTTCTTGGAATTCAATTTTTACTTAAAAAAGGATAATTTATAATCTGTGGTCATTCAGACTGGTTATTGCTTACTGGTTGCTAATTACTGCTAATTCAGACCAGTACACATTTTTTTCTGAAGTGAACAAAGTAAGCTTATCATGTTAAATAAGCTGAAGGACTGGGGGCTTATCATGTTAAATACAGCTGAAGGACTGGGGCTTATCATGTTAAATACAGCTGAAGGACTGGCCTTGCATGCATGAAGACCTGGATTTGATTCCSAGCACTGCAAAAAAAGATAAATAACAAAAAGAAAACAGATGATACCATCTGCTATTAGCCATAAAATTTGAGCCTTCAAGTAAATTAGAACTTTTAAAAACTAATGTCTGGTGTTGCAAGTTTGGCAGCTTTCTAATATGTTAATTCTTAAAGACTTTCTTGAAAAGTTGGGCAGTGGGGGCTGGGGATGTGGCTCAAGCGGTAGCGYGCTCKCCTGGCATGCGTGCAGCCCGGGTTCGATCCTCAGCACCACATACCAACAAAGATGGGCAGTGATATTAATTAATTAATAAGTCTGTTTTTTAGATATTATATAATGAAAAATATCAACATTTGGAAGATTTGCAAAATTTACTAAACCAATAGTTTTCAAATAACCAAAGCTTGATGTTAAAAATATGCATAGATAAAAGATTAATTAGTATTCAGGATAAACCATTGCATTTTAATATGTATTTATCATGGTCCATGTTATAAGCAGGATTTGATATATTTTTAAAGAAGGGCTGTTATCAATTCTATTTTCAAATTCTAAATTTTTAGCATGATGACTAACAATTATTGACAAAGATGTGGGGGAAGTGGAACTCTTATACACTGATAGTGAGAATGTAAATTGGTGCAGCCCTTATGGAAAACAGTGCAGACAATGATACCATGTAATCCACCAATTTCACTTCTGCATATRTATCCAAAGGAAATGAAATTTGGAGATACAGCTGCACTCCCATGTTCATTGCAACACTATATACAATAGCTAAGATATGAAAACTTAAATGCACATCAACTGATGAAAAAATGAAAAAAATCTATACATACACAAAGGAATATGATTCAGTCCTAAAAAGARGTAAATTTGGTCATTTATAAGAATGTGGATGAATCTAGAGAAGTGAAAGAAGCCAGGAGAACAGCCAAGAAAGACAAWTACTACACGATCTCACTTACATGTGGAATTTTGAAAAATTGAGATCATAGAAGTCGAGAGTAGAATGGTTGTCCTGCTAGGGATGATTTGGCAGGGAGAAAGGTGCAGATGTGCATAGGAGAGATTTAGGTAAAGGGTACAGAGTTCAGTTAAATAGGAGAAATAAATGCTAGTGATTTATTTTATAACATGAATGACCATAGTTAATGTATTCCTTTTTTTTTTTTTTTTTTTGCACTGTTGGGTATCAAACCCAGGGTCTTGCACATGGCAGGCAAGTATTCTACCACTGAGCTACACCCCTTTCCCCCACAGCCAGATGTACATTTTTTTTCTTTAAAAATGTTTTAGACATTAAAGTAGACTTTAAATGTTCTCACTGTAAATAATGATAAGTATATGAAGTGATGGATATGTTAATTAGTCTGATTTAGTCATTCTAGTTTATAATCTGTCAGTATCACATTTTAAATATATTCAATTATTATTTGTCAATTGAAATTAAATTACAAATTGAGCACAGTGGTACACWCCTRTAATCCCAGCRGCTAAGAATACTGAGGCAGGAGGRTCATGAGTTCAAAGCCAACTTTAGCAACTTAGTGARGCCTTGTTAATAGATAAAATATGAAAAGGCTGGAGATGTGATTCGGTGGAAAAGTGCCTCTAGGTTCAATTCTTGGTACCTAAATAAACAAATAAATAAAATAAAATTTTACAAGGGCTATTTTGAGTAAAATTTATTATTGAGTATAAGTGCTTAAGAATTTAAATGAAAATTTTATTTAGGGTTTAGCTTTGATTTTGGAAAATTTACTAGCCAAAGGATAATATCCTTAAAAGGCTTTTGAAAATTTGTTTTACTTTACATCTGATTAGAACTTCATCTGTCATTCCTAGGCACAGGAAAAACACTCTTGGCACGAGCTGTTGCTAGCCAACTGGACTGCAATTTCTTAAAGGTGAAAAAAAAAATTCTTCAGTAGTTGTTGAAATTAAGTTTTATTCAAATTGCCTTATATTTAACTTAATATTTTTTCTTTAATTAGGTTGTATCTAGTTCTATTGTAGACAAGTACATTGGTGAAAGTGCTCGTTTGATTAGAGAAATGTTTAATTATGCCAGGGACCATCAGCCATGCATCATTTTTATGGATGAAATAGATGCTATTGGTAAGAATAAATCTTTTAAATTTTATTTAAAATTTTTTTAACTGTTATGAGGAAATTTTCTAAAAATTTAAAAGAATTTTTCCCTTCTCTTAACTTGTAATTGTAACTTGTATGAAGTAGATAACAGTGAACTGGATATTATTTTTTAAAGATTAGAAAGTTTAACCAATTTTAGTAAATAACCTTTGACATTGACAAAATGGAAAATATCATACCAAAATCATTTTTAATTTTGTTAGTATAATTCTTGTCATTTAATTTTTATGTTAATATTTTAACCCTAGACACTATTACTATTTTATTTTCTTAAACAATGGTTATAGAGAAAATGAGTAATGCATATAAATTTCTAAATCTGTTATTTTAGGTGGTCGTCGGTTTTCTGAAGGTACTTCAGCTGATAGAGAGATTCAGAGAACCTTAATGGAGGTAATATTTGGTACAGAAGGTTCATAAAGAAATGAATAATTATTAAATGAACAACTGAACATTCCATATTTGAAGGTCTAAATATGTATTACAGTTTAAATGAAGAATTAGAAGTAAGCTGGGCATGGTGGTACACTCCTGAAATCCTAGTGACTCAGGAGGCTGAGGCAAGGAAAGTTGCAAATTGGAGGTCTCACAAAACAGTGGTGAGACTATAGCTCAGTGGTAGAGCACATGGGTTCAGTCCCCAGTGCTGGGGGAATGGGGGAAGGAAAGAAAAAGAAAAGTGAAATTTGAAAATATGGACAGGAATGAAAACATTTCTGTGTCAAAGTAGAAAATGACTATTACTGAGGGGGATGGAGGGATAGGGAAAGGTTGATCAATGGATACTAAGCTGCAGTTAGGAACAAGAAGTTTTGTTGTGCTATTGCATGGTAGGATGACTGTAAATAACAGTTATGTACTGTATATTTCAAAAAGATGGGAGAARAGAATTCTGAATATTTTATCCTTAAGGAAATAAGTGTTTAAGAATATAGGCAAAAATAAGGTGATTACAACATTCCATTTGGTATGCATTTGTATTGTTGTATTTTTTGAGCACATCAACCATTCAGATGTTTATATTGTATATTGAGCATCTTATATTATGAATGTGATCTTCTGCTAGCTTTTTAAGGACATTTTATGACTCACAAACATTAAAACTTGAAAATAAGTATGTTATAATTACATCTGAGATGACTCAAAATTGTTCTTTCCTCTCTTGCTCTCTTGCTGAGATTGAGAAGCAATTAAAATGGTTTTGATAATTGAGGTAGATGATGGAACGGAGTTGTACACATAAAGCCTTTCCCGACATTTCTCTTTTTCTGGTCAAGATTCTGTGGATGTGATGGCATCATCCCAAATACGTTTTTCCACTTCTGCAAATAAGGTAGAAACCAGGTAGTCTAGGCAATGCAATGTCAAATTTTTCTCATTAGGGGAATTTGAAATCCCTTTTTATAAATTAATGCTGATGTRCTCAGAAGATATAAAATATTTTTGAATTGACTTATAATGTCTCTTAGAAACTTTAAACTTAACTGTTTTAAAGCAACACAGCTGGGTGTAGTGGCACACACCTGTAATCCCAGCAGCTCTGGAGGCTGAGGCAAGAGGATCTCAAGTTCAAATCCAGCCTCAGCAATTTAGCAAGGCCCTAAGCAACTTA